TTGATCCATTTATAATGTTAATCAAATGCATGTAAAGACTATGAGTTATCATTGACTAATTTCACTGTAACTCTGTTAACCCTCTTTATTTACACGGTAAAAATATGTTGTCATAGAAATAAATTGACTGGTTATGATTGAAAATACACTAAAATATATAAAACTTTCTTTCACTTTAACTGCATAGAATCTCTCATATTTAAAAGTTTAAAATTAATTTGTATAATTTTTTTATTTGTTTACCATAGACTCCCATGTTTTTTTTTTTTGGGTCAAAACCACAGACTTCCATGTTAGGAAGATAACTAAGGAGTAAAAAAGGGGACTGTCTGTGGTAAATAATAATAATAATAATAATAAAAAATTAGATAGGTTAATTTTAAACTTTTAAAGATATAAGGTTCAATGCAGCTCCTCATAATTTAAAGGAGTTTTATATATTTTAATCTTAAAAATAAAAAAATATAGAGAAAAAATAGCTTCATTTTATATCTAGCTTAAACAGGATGTGAAAGATGAAAATGAGATTAAGTACATGTCAATAAAACCAATAACATAGTTAAGCAAAATTAACTTGGTCGTGCCAGCTCAAGGTCCTTTTATATATATATATATATATATATATATTTAAAATTATAAGAACTAACGATGTAAAAAGAAAATCAAACTAAAGGACTAGACATAATAAAATAAAATTAGAAGGATTAAAAATAAAATACAGCAACCAACTATTATATTTTTTTCTAAAAAATTTATAAAACCCACACAATTTCATAGATCAAGAATAGGACAGCTCACACCAAAATCCATACAAAGTACGAGGTTTATAATCTTAAATTTTCATGATTAAATCATCAATATACTGTATGAGATTAGTAGTGTATCATATTATTTACAAATTATAAATAGGATAATCTTTTTAACATGGATGAAGTTTCTGTTTTTTTCTTCACATATTTTTTTCATGAAAATCCCTGCATTTTTTTTTTAAATGCTGAACATATTTTAGCCAAATTTAAATATTGAAAAAGTGGGCAAAAAAAAATATCTCTGTTATCTCTATTGCACATCTCACAAAGAATAATATCAAATTAATTTAATTTATGCATTGCAAATATTTAAGAATAATTGCATTGAGGCTATTCCTCGTTGGAACAGGATTGGACGTAACAGGAGAGGTTATTGAGGTTGGCTCAAGTGTTCAAAAGTTCAAGCCTGGTGATTCTGTTGTGTCTTGGATTAACTCCTTTGTAAGTACCTCAAGTCTTTTTGTTGCACACAAATGATAACTATACTTCCACGTTGCTCATGCTATACTCTCTCGGCACTATAATATAAGATATATTTTAGAAGCATTATTTTGTCTAAAATATAGGGAATTAAATAATTTTTATAATTATTTTTCTAACTATACCCCTATATCATTTTTTTTTTAAATGATACTACAACATTGGAATTTCAATTATCATTACTAAAACACTTATATAAAATATTTAATGAGGATATAATTAGAAAGATGTAAATTGTTTAAGACATTTATGTTTCACCTAAATTTTTTTTTATAATTGTAAAGTAATTACTAATGCCTTGTACTCTCTTCGAACTATAATATAGAGCATCTTCTAAAAGCCTTGCTTGATCCAAAATATAAAAATTAAATATTTTTTATATTTTTTTCTAATATACTAATATTTTATTATATTCCACTCAAGTAATTAATGAATATGTTTTAAATAAATTAAATATTATATTTATTTTACTTAAGAGTACGACAAAAGAGATATGAAAATTTCAAAAAAATTTGAGTTTTTATTTTTTTTAAGAAATGTAAATTAGTTAACAATGATTTTTATTATTGTTTTCTTTCAAGCTAGGTTAAAAGACTTATCTTTTGGTTCTTGATATTGATTTATTATAGAATGGTGGTGGGCTAGCTGAGTTTTGTGTTGCAAAAGAGAGTGTCACAGCATTAAGGCCACATGAAGTATTAGCTTCAGAATGTGTAGGCTTACCTGTTGCTGGTCTCACAGCTCACCAGGCAGTCATCCAAGCTGGGATCAAACTCGACGGAAGCGATCATTACCGGAAGAACATTTTGATAACTGCGGCATCCGGTGGTGTAGGTCACTATGCCGTTCAACTGGCAAAAATGGGAAACACTCATGTGACAGCCACATGTGGAGCTCGCAATATTGAACTAATCAAAAGCTTAGGAGCTGATGAGGTTATTGACTATAAGACCCCAGATGGTGCTGCATTGAAGAGTCCATCAGGTCAGCAATATGATGTTGTGATACATTGTGCAATGGGGATTCCATGGTCCACTTTTGAGCCTAACTTGAGTACTCATGGGAAGGTTATAGATATAACGCCTACTCTCAGTGGATTGATGACATTTGTTCTAAAGAAACTTAGCTTTTCCAAGAAGCAACTTGTGCCTATGGTAATGATTCCAAAAGGTGAAAATCTTCAATACCTGGTTGATTTGGTCAAGGATGGGAAACTTAAGACTGTAATAGACTCTAAATATCATTTAAGTAACGTTGAGGATGCTTGGGCTAAGATTATGGATGGCCATGCTACTGGGAAGATCATTGTGGAGTACTAGATGTGTATTAGGGCACTCCATAGTGCAGCAATCACATGTGATGTGATTTGAAGTGCCTGCAAATATTAGAAATAAAATGAACTAAATTGATGTGGTTTCTTCTTGTGCTGGTCTCTAAGATTGAGTGTTTTTCTTCTTGTTTTTTTCTCTAAGAGAAATTGTGTAATGATGTGCTCTTATTTAGAAAATAAAGTGCCTTGTACCTTGCGATGGTATTGTTGTTCGAGGCTATTGAAGCTGGCTATGAATTAATTCAAACGGCAAAAATTTTGGAGTTAACTAAATTCCACAACTAAATTGGGATAGCCAGACAATCTATTGTAAAAGTAAACTTTTCTATTATTTAATTTATTGAATAAATAATAATGGACATTTTCCAAGGGGAAAATGCAGGGTTTTAACCTCCCAAAAGATCTAACTATCGTGTTCCACGCATATGGATTTCTGCTCCTAATATATGTACAGATGTGCATACAACTTAAATCTCAAATAAGAAGAAAATATTTGTTTTCCAATTTCACAGTCAAATTGTTATTTTAAAAATAACTTCTACAGATATTTTGTTTACCGCAGAACTATCCCTCAGTATTGTACAAACCGTAAACAAGATATGCAAGCAGGACTTGTATATTGGAATTCAACATTTCAAGATGAATTCAGCATGTAACAAAAGTTCAGAAGAATTTATGGCACTACTTTGCACATAAAGCTTCAGGAGATCAATCAAATACGTCGTTTCGTAGGGCGCCAGCATCCGTTATGGGGAATTCGAGTCGTATCTTGAACGCACACAATTGGATTTCTAGCTGCTCGAGAATTACTAAAGCCCTCTCCAGCTCTCCATTGCCTGCCTCTTCTTCTTAAAATAATTAAATCCTTTCACTTTAACAACAGATTTCAGTGCCAACCTCCTAACCATTCGTCCAACTTCTTCAGCTGTAGCTTCAGCAGCACACCTGGCAAGCTTTTGTCCTCCTTTCATGTCTTTCAAACACCCAACTGAAGACTTAAGTTTTACATTTCCTTTAGAGTCCGTCACAGTAACAAAGGTATTGTTAAGCAATAGCTTTATATGAACAACATCATGATCATGCTCTAAAATATAGCTAGAAAGTTCAGCAGCCCCCATAACACCCTTACCATTTGTCCCTACAAGTCTTCTCACAAAGTCCATAGGCCTGGAACTCGTCTTCGTCTCAGAATCATCCTCGCTGAGGAGGTTTACACTTCTTTGAGAGTCCGGATTAAAACCATGGGAAGCATTAAAATTTTTGTCCGAAGTGTTCCACGCAGAATTCATACTTGAAAATGCTCTAGCACGTTCTGCAGTTTCAAAAGATCAAGTTATCCCTATCAGACAACCATGTTCAAAATGAACTTATGTTGTGGATAGATTATTCACTAGCAAAATAACATCACGCGTTTCATTAGGTGTGTAACACACCTGTTTCCCTAATTTCACATTCTCAGAAATCTAATTTAACCATTTAATAAAGGTAAATTGAATGGACTAAGAAGCAGGAAAATTTAAATAGATACAAGAAACAATTTAAACAATTTTTTTGAAATGACACTAAAATCAATATACATTTTTTTTTCCAAGAAAAAAAACGATGTTTAAAAGTAATTTGAACTGTTGTGTCCTATCGGACATACCTGCCCATTCTTCATAAAGGTTGATCCGTTCAATCTAGAATTTAAACAGTCAATTCAAGCAAGTGATAAATGCAAAGGTGGCACAATAAAATCAACCAGCATATCAATATAGTCCCAAACCCCTGTTTTGAATTCCTAATACTTTACTTGGACCAAAAAAAAAAAAAAAACAAAAACAAAAACCTCAATAATTTCTGGCAAAGCGAAATCAGTATTATAATATCATACCAACTAAAGGCCGCTACTGAAATGTTTGCAACCAAGTCTACAAAATCTGAGTTCTAACCTTCTTCCAAGCCCCAGATAAAAATCATCTTCTCACGAAGGCCATCATTCAACATGAATAAGAAAGTGAGCTTGTAGATGAGCCAGGTTCAGCTATTAGCACAAACAACAACTCTTAAATTATCTTAATTTCACCAAATCATTTTTCACTTCCTCAAATCTCGGCAGTCACACAAGGGAACTCTCAGCTAATCTATGCCAGATTCAAAATTCAGGTCGATAATTTTCCTTGCAGAACACTCGGTATCAACTAAGAAGGAATAAAAATTTACTATTGCTTTGCGGTAACACCGTTTTGTTGCAAAATTGCAAAACGACGACTTTTTGCTTTCTTTTTCTTTTTGCTTTTAGTAGTCAGACTCAGATACAAAATAAACGGATCCTAAATGAGTAAATTCCTAATTTCCTATACCTAAAGCTCTCATCTTCATCTTGCTCGCGTTGAGGCATACACAAAAGTTCTGCGGCAGAACCACTGAACCAGAACGGCTGAAGCAGAACCCTACGGCATCTTCTTCTCCTCTGTTCCTCAATCTCGCAAACTCACTCTCATCTCAGGTCTTCGTCTCACCGTCTCAGTCATCAGACTCCTCGTTCTCGAGAATCTCTTCGGCCTCTTCGTGATCGACTGGTATTGAATCTCGATCTCTTCGACTGCTCGTTATGTCTCAGCTTCTCCAACTGGTCGGGATTTCTCAGCATTTCCGACTGCTCGTGACTTCCAACTCGTGATATCTTCATTAACAGGTCAGAGCTCGTGATTTCTTCGACTGCTCGTTATTTATGCTTCATAGTTTATAATTATTTTTTATTAGTTAATGGTGATATTTAGCAGCATTGAATTGAATTGATAAGGTGAAAATAAAATTAAAAATAAAATTTTAATTTAAACATAATTAATATGTAAGAATTATAATTTTTAAAAATCTTGATTTTATTAAAAATGTTAGAATTCAATTCTATTATATTAATCATGAAATTGTTTCAATTCTCTTGAATTCAATTTGTAGACCTCACTATCCTCATCTTTTTTGTCCATTTATAACAAAGTAGGTTTTTTTAATTTTGAAAAAAAAGTACAATTTGGTCTTTTCTTATTTTAAGTACATATACAAATTAATATTATATTAAAATTTTATCTTCATATTAAACACACTTTTAAAACTCAATTCTATTTTGATTTCGATTCCGATTTCAAATTCGATTTTGATTTCGATTCCATTTTCATTAAAAACTCTTCCATCATACCAAATGAGACCAATTTAATTCTGTAAATTTTGGTTTAGTAGTTTTTTATGGATATGTGGACATGGCAAAATGCTTCTCTTCTTTTTAGTTTTTACATTGGTTATGTTTGGTAGAGTAAAATTACAAGTATGGAAAAGGAATTGAAGTTGGAATCATAAAATAATGATGTTTGATACATGTGAATTTAAATTTTCAAGACTCCTGATTCAAGTAAAAAAAAGCTGAATTGAATTATTTGATGGGAGCTATGGAATTGGAGCAATTCTATGAAATTATAGTTTTTGAAGATAATTTTATCCTCATATAAAAATAGAGAAGACAATTGTGCCCTTGCTCATTTGTAATTAATATCAAAAGAATTGAGTATGTAGATAGTCGTGGACAATTGAAAATGCTCAACTCATATTTTTATTTATATATATATAAATGCCCCATTTAAAATGCCCAACTCGAATAATTCAAATATATATATATATATATATTATAATTTATATATTTATAATATTTCTTTTAAAAAATAGTTTTTTTTATTTTTGATATCCATAATCTATATAATACTTCATTTGTATATTAAATAGTATATGAGAAATTAAATCACAATATTAATTTTGATTTTAATTTTTAGGAGTATTTTTATCTTTTAAGTATAATTTTTTTTTTCATGTCTTACATACCAAACAAAACTAATACAAGAATTTCATCTATTTTTTTTTGATATACCAAATATATTTTTAAAATTTAATTCTATTTTAATTTTGATTTTAATTTTAATTTTAATTCTATTAAAAATTATTCAGTCGAACCAAATGGAGCCTAAAGTAGAATTTAATCTATGATTTATTCATTCATTATTTATATATGAATACTAACTATTTTTTCTCCAATATATGTATAAGTATTGTTGAATATGTGAATGTTTTGTAGTCTTTGATTTTGGATTCATCTAATGTAATAAGAGTTGAAGGAGATGTTTTTATCTTCAATATGATTTTGAAAAATTTAATTTAAAAGATCATTTGAATGTTGAATTATGGTGGGATTTTTTTTCCATAAGCAAGTATGGAGGGATTATCACTTTATATCTAAATTAGATTTCTTTATTTTACCACTTTCTCTAATTTTTAATATATAATATTTAAAATATATTAATTTAATTACAAATGACCCCACCTTAATCTAACCTTGATTCGATCTTTGAACGGTGAATCTGTGCCTCAACCAGTTTAATATTCGATTCGATTCTCTTTTCCTATTCATATTCATAGCAAGTGGTATTCTATTCTCCGCAAGATCACAAGAACGGTCCAGATTCTTTCGACATCACGCATGTGGTTGGCGCTCAAACCGTAGAGGATCTGAAACTCGAAGTTCCCGTCTTCCGTTTACAGAAGCCTGGCCGTGACTGCAAGGTGCTCTCAAAACCTCCACTCAACTCAAAGAGCTACTTTCAAATTTAAGCGAATCGAACTGAAATTTCTGCGGGCAGCGCCGTGAACGATGCCGCGAACCACCACCATTGACTGCCCTGGTTGCCCTCCGTTTCGGGCTCTAACTTTCGACGCACTTGGGCTCATTAAAGGTGGTTGATTGATCATATATTCGTACTCATCTCTTGGCTCTTCCAAATTCGCATCTTGTTTTGCTTCACTCTTTTGGTTCGCTTTTGGGTTCTTTTGTTTGTGTTAGTTGTTGAAGCCCGTGATAGGCAAGCTGGAGTTCCACGGGTCGTTGATAGATGGGGTGAACCAGACTCCTCCAATTGCGTCTCAGCCGTATCTACCACTCACCACAAGGCTGACCCGGTATGTGCTATGTTGAAAAGATACAAAGGAGAAGCATGAATTACTATTCTCTCATTATTTTCTTTTCTCTGGCATTGCAGTTATTAGCTGTAGCAAGGAGAAATGGTCGGGTAAGTAGTTCTTTCATAATATCATTGAAGGTTCCTTACCATGTTTTGGTGTTCAGTCTTTATTGTTAGATTCTCAAGTGCCTCAATCTACACATCCATTATAGGTTGAGGTTCTGAACCCTGTAAATGGAGATCTTCAGGCTGCAATGTTAAATTCAAATGTTACAGATATCCGGTCTGAAGAAAATGCTATTGTTGGATTGCATTTATTTGCAAAGCAAAACCTGGAGTTAGCTTCCAGGTATTATTTGTGCCATTGTCATTTAACTTTTCAAATTTGTATGTTATGCTTGTTCCTTGTGCTATATTTTTATGCTCAATTTAGTTAAAAAAATGATTATCACAGTGATTTTTTGTTTATTTTTCCTTTGCCTTTTTTGATAGTTCTTGACACACATACTCATTATCTTCATGTTATGTAACTGTAAGTCAAAAAGGTTGTTGGCTTTCATATTGGTGGTGCATTGGTTGTATGCTCATGCTTACATGGTTGATATGTTTTAATGTCATGTGATGCTCTTATGCATGTGTGTCTTTGCTGTGTCTCTTTTCTGCAGCTTCAAAGGTAATTCAGATTTAGTATCTTTTGTTAGGTCTTGTACTTTGCTTGCCTGCACGGCCAAGGGAAATGCAAGTGTAAAGTCCATTAATGTGGCCAGTTCATCTTCAGAATCTGCTTGTGTTAGTTCTTCAGCATGGAATGTATGTGCTGGCGGTAACATCTCATGTTGCAAGGTGGATGGAAGTGAGAAGTATGCTTTGTTTGGAGGGTGAGTCATTGCAATTTTCATGAGTATTGCTGTAATAATTAATTAAATTCAATCAGTATTAAACTTTTCAAATTATTTATCTTGAACTTTTATGAAGAAGGGTGTTATGGGTAGAAAATAAGGGAACGAAGTAAAAGATAGCTCCCTCAATATTGTAAAATTCATGAACTAGAAGGAATCAAGGACATTAAAAAAAAAAAAAACAATGTTGTGAACTCTTGGATGATTGATAACCTGTATATCTTAAAATAACTATTGGAAGATAATCATGTTTGTGTTTTAAAGATTATCATATGCTGCCGCAGATGCTAGGGCATGAATTTCTGCATAAGTCCTGGCTTACTACCTTAACCATATATTGTGCATTCATATTCGACCTTTGTAATGAATCTGTAGAAACTTGTGAAAAAGTTGCAGGCAAATAATTACAGATATCTTTCTCTAAGAAGTAAATGTTCATTTAATTCTGCATGTAGACATATATTACTTAGCTTGGAGTTACTAGAACACATCATATGAAATCACAGGCACACTTTATAAAGTTTTATGCTGCTTCTGGAATGGCTACTGTTCATTTTTGCTAATGTTATCAAGTTTATAGACCAAATTGAAAGTTTTGATATTTTGTGGTTGCTTAAATTTCTTAGTATCGTAAGTGTGAAGAAGTCTTGCACTTGCAATGTATTATAGTTATTTGGGAGTTTTAAGAAGCAAAAGCAATTCCACTGTATTTTTGATAAGGCTACCAGAGAAAAAAAAAAAAATTCTACGAAATATTAGACCTCCAAAGAAGAAATATATAAAATAGCAAGATTTTGCATTAATAAAGGCTTGAAGCCAAAAGAAAATGATGGAGAGAGAGGTGCTTTTTAAAATCTTATGAGAAACCAATATGAGCACTAGCAGTGAATGTCTGTCATCTTATTTTAGATTTCTGAGCTGAAATATTCTAACCATTGCTTATATCTATCGCTTAGGAAAGGCATTGAAGTTAATCTTTGGGATCTCAACAGCTCCAGTAAGATATGGAATGCCAAACCTGTGAGTCTGCGTTGAATTTTAGCTCTTTCAATAATTATGTTTTTTCTCACCCATATTATCTTTTACTGTATCATATTTTGCTTTTTCCTACATGTGTAATATTACCATTTGTTTTGTGCTATGCAGCCTCCTAAGAACAGCCTCGGTATTTTCACCCCTACCTGGTTTACATGTGCTACATTTCTAAGCAGAGATAATCACCGTAAATTTGTTGCTGGAACCAACAGCCATCAGGTAAATTTAAGCAGTGACTTATTTGAAAATTTGAAATTAACCAATAAACATATTTGGAATGTGCATTAATACCTAGGGAAGCTTCCTTTCCATTGATGCTTATGTCCTTGTACCGTAATATATTTAAGATTCTTGAAAAGGGTTATAATTTACTTTCACTGTCTACCTTTTAGAATTATAGGTGATATTCTTACTATGGAAGTCATGTATCAACGTGTTATTTGTGAACTACTATATGCTGGTGTTGTCAATGGTTGTATGATGGTAACTGGCAAGCCCCTCCACTTTGTGGTGCCATGGTGAATGGTTTGCTGGGCACCATATTGACGCTTGACTGCCATTTCTTTCAGGAAATATTTTAAACATAAAAAATTTCTTAAAAACACGTAAGAAAAGAAAATGAACTGGCACATTGGGAGAATAACTAGGATAAAGTAATTTCCTAGCAGATGAAGTCAGCACTCTTGACCCCAAAAAAAGTCAGCACTCAATGTATTAAAGTGCCATTAATGCAGCCCGCAGCACAAGTCTAAAATAATTTATCTTCATTATTTTTTGCTGGAGGCTGTAAATAATGTCATTTATCTATAGAGGAAGGATAGAGACATAGGAGACGTGTTGGGAGAAAATTGAATGATGGGGTGAAAAAAAGGGAGGATTAGTGGTGCTATGAAAAGCCAGAAAGAGTACGTCAGCCAGTTGTATGAAGATATAAAGCATGAGGATCCTTTGATAGAGCTCACTTGTCCAAAGCTTCATAGTTAGAGAACGTAGAGGAACAACCATAATTTTCATTTGCACTTTGCTGCATTATTTTATCAGAGATTCAGAGACATTGCCAATGGACCAGTCCTCCAAAAGTCAACAAATTTATTGGCTAGAGATCAAGAAAATTGTGGAATGATGTGACAAATACCGTCTGCTTTCTACATTCAATACAGGCACTCATCATAGAGGATGCTCGCCATAACATAGCAGTCACCAAGGCTTGTTTTTGGATGGAGGATTTTTTAAACTGCCCATGCCATTTGGCTGTGGAGGCCAAGGTTACTGCAATTGTCTACACAATTTAGTTACTGATATCACATTCTATATAATAGTTTGGATGTAGTTTCTTTCTTAGGGATGAGCATACATAGCCTTTAACATTACAACGCATAACATACATTCTACTAAATGTCCTTTTTGTCAAATTGTATACATGGGTAAATTGAAAAAAGGTGGAGTGATCAAATTGCAGATGCGTTATTTAATTCCTATATATCTTACTATTTAAGAAAAATAAAGAAGTCATTGTGTTATGGTTGAAAGAGAAGAAGAGAGAAGAGAGGTAGGTAGGAGGGAGAGAGAACAGAGGAGACTTTCTGAATAATACGGTTTATTATTAATGAACCAACATCAGCCACATAACTGGACTTAGGGGCATTTATAGACTGACTCTTAAGTACTAATAACAGTAACAGTACCTAATTAACGACTATACCCCTGTATCTTAACTAATTCTTATGTTCTCTAATATTTACATATCAATACTCCCCTCCCCAAACACCCTTGTCCTCAAGGGTTAACAAGATGAAAATCTGGAAACTGTTTCTAAAATTTAAACTGAGACAGCCATGTAGCTTCCTCATACGGCAATCCTTTCCATTGAACTGACACTTTAGTAGTAATCTTTCCTTTCATCCTTCCCACTCGTTTGTTCAGTATCTTTTTGGGAAAAAGCAAATCTGGAATTTCTGGCCAATCATCAGGCAGATGTCACTGCTTTACTGAAGTGTTAGGACATAATTTGAGGAGAGACGTGAAAAGTTGAATGAATTCTGGAACTAGAAGGTAATTCCAGCCTGTAAGCAACCTTCCCGATTCTCTTAAGCACTTTAAAAGGCCCAAAATACTTTGGCGCTAACTTTTGAGTGCTTCTAGATGCAATAGAAATCTGTCTATAAGGCTGTAACTTCAAAAACACCCATTGGCTGTCTTCAAATTCTCAATCAGTTCTTTTTAGATCAGCCTTCTGCTTCATTATTGCCCTATGTAAATGATGTTTTAGGATATGTGTTCCCTTGCTTCAAAACTCCTATCCACAGCTTCAACAATTGCTGTTCTAGGAAAATAAGGAGTATATATAGGAGTTTTCTGCCCATAAGGTAGTTCATAGGGAGTAGCCTTGATAGAAGCATGAAAACTAGTGTTATACCACCATTCAGTAAGTGGTAACCATTTACTCCATTCTTTAGGACTCTCCCAACACATACAATGTAGATAAGTTTTCAAGCATCAATTGAGTACCTTGGATTGACCATCGGTTTGAGGATGGTATGAAAAAGTGAGCTTTTGCTCCACTTTAATCACCTTGAGGAACTCCTTCCAAAATTGCTAATGTGCACCAGATCTCTATCACTTATCACCTCAACTGGGGCTCCATTCAATCTGTAAATGTTATCTAAAAATGTTTGAGCTAACGTAGAAGCTGAAAAAGGGTGAGATAGAGCCATAAAATTGGCATATTTGCTCATTCTATCCACTGTAACCCAAATGACTTATTTTCCACCTGATTTAGGGAGCCCTTTTATGAAATCCATTGTAACACTCTCCCACAACTTGCTTGGGATAGGTAATGGTATAAATTGTCTCAAAGTTGGACTTTCACCCACCACCAGCTTACCATTTCTTCTAAGGAATTTATTGTGGAAATATTACGTTATTATTGTTAATAGTTAGCATTTGTTAGTATTATTCATCAAGCTTTATTATTATTTATTAGGTTTTATATCTCTTGATGTATATATATAGGACCCGTTTGTACATCAAAACATACGAATGAGAAATATTATTCTCTACAAAACTCCACATTTACCATCCCAAGAGTGGGCTTTACTGCTGCCATCTTGCCTTTGTAAAGAGCCTTTAAATCTGGATCCAACTCCCAACTCTCCTCAAGCTTGTGTACTAATTCTGGTGATGGTATGTCTAAAGCAATCTGCAGTAACTGAGGTCTTGAGAGTCTAGAAAGAGCATCAGCTGCTGTGTTATCATTCCCCTTCTTGTAATGAATCTCAATCATGACCCATTAACTTTGCGACCCAATACATTTGAAAAGGGGTCTTCGACTTCTGACCAAGCAAAAGTTTGAGGTTTTGCTGATCTGTTTTTATGATAAACTTCCTTCTTTCTAGATATTGATGCCAATGCTCAATAGCTAGCACTACAGCCAATAGTTCTTTCTCATAAACTGCTGGCTGGAGCTGTTTTGGGCCCAAAGCCTTGCTGAAAAATGCAATGGACTGATTATTTTGAAGCAAAATAGCCCCAATTTCCTTCCCACAAGCATCAGTCTCTACTACAAACTCCATTGAAATCTGGAAGTGCTAAGACAAGCGCTGAAACAAGTATTTGCTTCATCTTTCTGAATGTTACAGCAGCTGTTCATGCAATGTGAATGCATTTTTCTTCAAGAGGTCTGTCAAGGGTTTGATTATTTGCCCATACCTTTTGATAAACCTTCTATGATACCTTGCAAGCTTTAAAAAGGACCTCGATTGTTTAACAGTAGTTGGTGTAAGCCAATCCACCACTATTTGATGTGACCTAAGTATTCTACTCTATTGTTGGCAAATGTGCACTTGCTCCTCTTGATAAAATAGTGGTTTTTCTGCAAGATTTCAAACACTACTCTTAGATGAACATGCATATTCAAATCTGCGCTATAAACTAAAATATCATTAAAAAAAAAAAAAGAACAAAGTAGCGCAAGTAAGGTCTAAAAATAGAGTTCATTGCTCCCTAAAATGTTGCTGGAGCATTGGTTAAAGTAAATGGCATAACCAACCACTCATAATGACCCGAGTGAGACCAGAAGGCTGTTTTGAATGTGCCTTGAGGCTCCATTCGAATTTGATGGTACCCGGTTCTCAAATCCAGCCTAGTGAACCATTTAGCTTCCCTCAATTCATCCAATAATTCTTTCACAAGTGGAATAAGATATCTATTATTGATTGTCTTCTTATTAAAGCTCATCGTAATTGATACACATGTGCTATGAGCCATCCTTCTTTTTTACCAACACACTAGGTGCAGCAAAAAAGGAGCTACTCTCTTGAATCACACCTGAAGCTAGCAACTCTTCCACCATTTTCTCAATAAGATCCTTTTGTGCAGAAGAATAATGATTGGGCTTGAGATTAATAGGATCCGTGACTTCTTACAAAAGAAAAGGGTGATTATGGCCCTTTCTAAAAGGGGGTAGACCCTTGGATTCATCAAAAAGCCCTTTAAAGTCTTCCAAAAGGTCACCAACAGCTTATGGAAGTGATTCTTCTGATTGTACAGCAAGGATTTGAGACTGAGATTGACTATTTTCAGCCAATTGGAGTAGAAATACTTGGCACCCGTCTCCTTTTTTTAATCTCTAACTTGCTGGAAACAACCATTTGCCACTTTGATGGAGGTTGTACCTGCGAAACAAGCATTTTTCCATTATTCCAGAAATACATAGTAGAAGAAAGATAATCCCACAAAGCATAATGAAGGCTTTTAAGCCATTCCTAGCCCAACACAATATCATAATTGCATATTTTCATTATCAGGAGGTCTCTGCAAAAATCTTCTCCTTGCATTATCCATTTTAAAATTCCTTCCAGACTCCATATATTTTCAATTTTCCAGCACCCGCAACCACTGTATCAGCCTATCCATCTTCTTCTCCATTCCAACCCAGCTTCTTTGCCAAGTCATGGTTAAGAAAATTGTGGCTGCTTCCATTATGATCTATGAGAATCTGAATGGGTCTCCTTCCCACATGCCCTTGAAGTCTCATAGAACTAAAATTTGATGGCATTCAGGAGTATTTTCTTGCTCATTAAATCTGCCTCTTTGTGTTCCTGCTCTTCTTCATCAAGATTTTCATCAAGCTCTATTAATCGCAATTGCATCTTGCATCTCTGAGAGCAATTGTGACATCTAGAAAAAAATTTATGACAATAAAAATGTAGGTTTTGGGCTCTGTGTTTTGCCTCTTCCTGTGGTGTTAATTTTGTGGGAATTTTAATCCCAAAAATAAATTGGCAAGAAGAAGATGAGTTTTTGGTTGCGTTAGATGCTGTGCTTGGTGCGAATGAAGATTATGAATATTCTTTAGTTAAGTTGAGTTTACACACAATTTCATCGGAAGAATCATTATAATCTCCTAAGCTCCCTGTTTATCATAGTCGCATGATTTCTGCCATAGGTGCTTCATAGGTAGGTCTGAATCTCTTCTTCATAGCTTATGAATATTCTTCCCACCCTATCGCACGCCTTCTTCTCGCAATTGTTAGGGCTTGATGCCATTGGAAGGCCTTCTCATCAAGATGAATACTGGCCATCATGACCTTCCATGCGTCAAGGGTGTCATCAATCTAAAAATACTGCTCACACTTCATAAGCCACCGAAGAACATCCTCATTCTAAAATCTTGGGAATTCCATCTTGGTGAATCTAGTAGGAGGTTGGTACTCCCTTTCTGGTCTTTGTCAATGGTTCCCTTCCCCTCCATTGGAGCCTATCTCATGATTATTGTGAGACTCATCAATGGTGCGAACAAGCTGTGCTATTTGTGCTGTAAGTGCTTCAATATGGTTTTCAACATCATGGAGTCTTGTATTGGTTTGGTCAGCCATCTTCTGTGACACTGATTGGGAGTGGGTGGTGGGCATATGAGGGAGGAAAGAATGGCTTTGGATACCACTATTATGGTTGAAAGAGATGAAGAGAGAAGAAGAGAGCAGGTAGGAGAGAGAAACAGGGAACAAAGGAGATTTTCTGGATAGTATGCTTTATTATTAATGAGCCAACAGCAACACAACTGGACTTAGGGATATTTATAGACTGACTCTTAAGTACTAATAGCAGTAACAGTACCTAATTAACGACTAGACCCTTGTATTTAACTAATTCTTATGTTATCTATTATTTACATATCACATTGGTTCTATTATCTACTCCCATTTGAAGCTACTTAATTTTGAATGCATTCAATCACTCTTCATGTAATAGATTGACTTTCAAACAGGTTCGTTTATATGACATCTCTGCTCAGCGAAGGCCTGTTATGTCATTTGATTTTCGTGAGACACCAATTAAAGCAGTGGCTGAGGATATAGATGGTTATTCAGTCTTTATAGGGAATGGGTCTGGTGACCTTGCTTCTGTTGATATACGTACAGGTATGTGCAAACCTTTCAGTATATAGTTATTTAAGTTTATGAAGGCTTTGTTCATTGTGCTTCCATTTTAACTGTCACTTGAAGTGATTATGATCCAAGAATTATAATTGTATGAAGAAGAGAGATGCTTAGGGTCGTTAGTAGTGATATGAAGCTGTTAGCTATATATAGATGACCTTGGTAGTTTGTAGCTTAGCTTTTGACATAATCAGAAAGTGAATTCAGTTCCTGCTCTCACCTTATTTATTTATTTCTTCTCTTCTCCCTTATCGTTTATTTCTATAGATTATCAATTTCTTCGTTCCATAACTAAATTATCTGGACTCTACTTCCAAGACTAAATTTGCTAGGGTAATTTATTTGATTTTAGGCAATGATATAAATTGGCTCGTTGTTGTCAATTGTTTTGTGGCTAAAACTGCACCTTATACTTGAGAGGGTAAGGTGCCGTATTGTAACATTTAATGGAAAAATCAACTTTGGGATTCCAAATATTTTAGTGCCAGTCTACAGCTTAATATTTACATTAGTAACCATTTATGATCTTTTCTTGTTACAACTTGAAATTTCTCTATTAAGAACTATGGATGAGTAAATCTGTGACTGTGGAATATTTCATATTAGTATTGGCATGCAGGGACAGATGCAGGATGATCCTAAATGTGCCCTCTCCTCTTAAGAAAAAGTAATTCATACTTTGTAAACAAGCCTGGGTTGGCCATAAGTAGGATTTTGATGCAACCTCTAATTTCAACCCTTTAGTATTAGAAGTTTCATTGTAGTTTTTATGATCTGTATCTTTTGGTTATAGAGATGATTGGTTGGTGTAGTTGTTTCATATGGTTGACATTCATGGAATGGGCTTATGGGCATTCTAAGTAAAATAAGTTTCATTGGGCAATTTATTAAATACCAATGCTTGTGTCAAAATAAATTTTAACTTCTTTTGCAACGTGGAATGTTCAAAGTTCTATGGTTTATTTGGTTGGAGCTTCATTTGCTGAGGAAAAAAGTAGTTTTGCTGACTTTGCTTTCAATATCAGCGTGAGTGGTTACATGTAACTTCCTATTCTTATTTGCAGAGGTCAGTCTTCCTAGTTGTATATTTGAGATTATGTTGTTTTCTTGCTGTTCTCTGCTTTTTCTCTTCCCTCCTTTTTCTATTGATATTATCTCCTACAGAATTGTATTCTGCCTTACCATATACAACAAATTTCTCCTATTGAAAACAAAAATATCTTATGAAAAAATCCTGCTTAAATGTTTGATATTTATGAATGCTTATACCTAAAACATGTAGCACCTTGTTATGTGGAACAAAGGAGAGGGTTATGGCGAAGATGAAAATGTAAAGGTCTCAAGGACATGTTGGGGTTTTGAGCTGTATACATTGTGGTTGAAGAGTTGAAATGACAAAAGGAGAAAGTTTGAGTTTGAAGCTTTAATCTTGGGGATGATAAGCAACCTATTTTTGGATTCAATATAGCAGTTTACTTCATTAAAGCTTCCTTCCTTAATGGAAGGGGATTTCTTAGACCTTTTTGCATTGCTTGCATTTTATGTTTAACATTTGATGTGACATTTTCTTTGTATGCATAATTTCCTAGACCTTTTGCTGTGCTTTCTGTGCAGTAACTACTCATTCACATTTCCCAAGCAACTGTTTGCTATTTGCATGAGAAGGCATTCAATGCGGGCCTAAGGTCCATTTTTAGACTTTATGAAAATGCCTTCACAATTGTTTAAGCTTGTGAACGACTCTGAATCACATGGATTAGGAGCTGGGTTCTAATCAGTTCCGTTGTTGCAGTACTTGATTTGTTTTTTTAAATAAATGTAATAAAGAGAGAATTCTTGGGACTTGCTTACATTTGTTTTCTTTATAAGTTGAGAATTTTGATAACCGCAATTTGTATTGGTATTTTTTCTTGGATTTTCTGACTTTGTAGTTATCAGATCTAATTGCATTGAGTTTAAGCCGCTATACATATTCTTATATGATATCTTCTTGCATCTCCTGTCTTTGAGTTGATCTCTTTGCATGAGTTATTTTCAATTTATCATGTTAATCAATATACACAATTTGTTACAGGAAAGTTGCTAGGATGTTTTATTGGCAAATGCTCTGGAAGCATCAGATCCATTGTTCGGCACCCTGAGCTACCTATTATAGCTTCATGTGGTTAGTGAGCTTTCTTTTTTGTGAAAACCTGCAGAGCAGGTAGTTTATTAGAGTTTGGTCTGTCTTTTTATATCTATGTTGCTTGTTTTTAATTATAGTGTGCTATGTGCGGTCTTCTTGTCAGTGAAAATTATTTAGTTGTCGGTCTTATCATTTGTGCTATTATTCATAGGTTTTTGTCGTCCTTTTCTTCCTTCTAAATGATTGTTGCTCAAGCTCATAATCAATTGAAGAAGCACTGGTCTGTAGTTTGCTGACTTCACATTTTTTGGCTCTGATAAGAACATTTCAGCTTTTATACTATCATAATGACATTTATAAATCTCCATATTCATCATTAAAGCTCATCTCACAATAATTTTTAGGACTGGATGCTTATCTTCGTATTTGGGATACAAAGACCAGGCAGCTCCTTTCTGCGGTATGCTTAACCCTTGTCTTAATTATCATTATGGTATTGGCAATGGACCATGTGTTTCAAATCATGTTAAAATGTTTAGGGGTATCTATGCCACTACAATGTAAAAGAAGTGGATAATATTTTGACCTTATTTACTGTTCTTATTCAGCAATTTGATGTAATTATTTTTTCATCAAAACCCTCAATGTGCCTTTATTTAAAACAAGGGAAGATTGCTGTTCTCTCTCCATATCCTATTATTTTATCAAGAATGTGTGAAGTGCTCCAATATTTCTCCTGCAGAGAATGTTGCCTTGTGTATCTCCTCTTCTATGAAAAATTATATGTTAACTTTTATTTTTTGAAGCTGCAATAATGCATTTACAAATGTTTTGCTTAATGCACTGATTCTTGAAATTATAAGGATTTGGAACTTGCTACTTATTGCACATCAAAATCCAAATTTTTGCTCTAAAATTCTAGGAAGTTATGAAAAATCTTTGAAAGGTAAAATCCATAGGATGAAGCTCACTTCCCCTTTGATCCATTGGTGTCCTTTCTTGCCATTGAATTGGGTCTAAAGCATTCTCCATGACCTCTTATTCCCTTTAGTACACCTCCCTTTTATTGATTGAATGTGACACGCTTTTAATATTTCAGCCAAGGAGTTGCTTATATATGTTAATTTATAATTTTCACTGAATAAAACTATACATCTCTAAAGCAAAAGCGGCTCATTTCAGATTATTAAAAAAAATTAAAAAATAAAAGAACAGCTCATATCAGAGCGGGTCAGGCAAATTTTTATGTAAAAATTGACTTTTTTTTTTCTTTTAATATGACAATTTTCTAGAGATAATTTCATCACAGGTGCATCTTGGTCCTTCTAAAACAGAAAATAAAACATCAAAGATATAGGGAAATAAATGTAAGAGTTGATTCTGGATCCCCATTAAAAACCTATTAGCTAAAATCCAGATCCTCTTTTAGATTACGTATTCACTGAGAGTCCATTTATATGGGGCTAACTTCCTTAGAAGTAATTATTTGTCAGAGGATCTGATGAAGAATAATTGCAATTTTGATAATCAAGAAATATGATGGCATTTTTGGATCGCATGACAATTTCAATACTGGTTATGGTTAATAATGTTTTATTTTGAAACTACCTGTTGTATTGTTACCTTTTAAAAAGCATCATTTCTTAACTTGAACTAGGCAGGTTACTTAGTGATTGATTGTCCAAACTCTTTGTAGAATTTACTGATCATATTGTGATACTGAATTGTATGAGGAAAAGATAGAAAAGAGAAGAGATAGTAGAGAGAGGAAGAGGGGGGAGGGGGAAGAGAAGGAAGGCAAAAAGCGATGAGATGAGAGATACTGAATGAATTCACTCATTGATTTACAACAGCGGAATTACAAATGTCTAAGTATCTTTTTTATAGCCTATTGTTCTCATGGTCGCTAACAAACTACTGACCGGTTTCCTCTTTCTTTTTATATCTACATATCATAATGATCGGTTTACTAAATTAGAAAAATTTCAAATAACTAGGAACTTTATCATCATGAAAAACTTTTCTTCGTGCAGGTCTTCCTGAAGCAACATCTTATGCATGCTGTTTTTGACTATAACTTCATCAGTGAAGGTTTGTCTGTTTCTTGCTTTCTTTTTTTAATGTTGCAAATTAAAGTCCTTTTGATATCAAGGAATGTAATTCGACAGAGTAATTTGTTGCTCTGCTTTAGTTTATTTGATGAATAATAAAGAGTACATATAGCGCTGAAACTAGGGTTACATGCCATAGAATATAATCTAATCTAATCAGATTGTAATCATATTTTATTCCCTAAAATCTGCTGATAATAATAGCAGAAAATAAATTTGTTTAAGCCCTAATCAGACCCATTAAGGATAATGGACCTAAGCCAAATAGTGATGGCTTCCAACACTCTCCCTCAAGCTGGTGAATAGATGTCAATTATTCCCAGCTTGCTTGTTAAGTTTTCAAACTTGGGCTTGGCTGTAGAGCATATTTGCAATCTGCAACCTTGGTGTATATCTAACTTCAACATGTTTGCCATCAAGCTTCTCCTTGATGACAGGTCTATCCATGTCAATATGTTTTGTCCTATCACGGTGAATAGGATTTTTGACAATTCCAATGGTAGCCAAATTATCCCAGAAGAACTTCATAGGACCTTCATGAGTTATATGTAACTTCAAAGGGTGCCAAAGCCAAGTCTCCAGTGTGTGCCATGACATGCAGGTTTAGATTCCAAATCATCCACTCATCAGCCTGTTTTATGACTTCTGACTTCTAGTTGACTTCCATTAAGTAAATAGTTGAAGGGAGGTTCTCATATCACCTGATGGATTCCTAAAGCAAGTTGTCATTTTTAACAGTGAAGGGAACTGTCAGTGAGAAAAGAAGTGGGCGTTGGTTTTGGTACCTAAGCCAAAAATAGGGTAGGAATTTCCTTCATTATGGAATATTGCGACTTAGAGCACTTGATGAGCAAGATACACCCAAAGCAATAGGTTCTTGTGGCAAAAAACGAGGGAAGTTGTCTCTCAATTTTTTTTTTTTAAATAGAAGAAAAACATAGATGAGTTGGGTCTTGGGATTCATCAGAATTAGGGCATACTTCTAATTTCAAGGAGCGCTTATATAGTTAATTATAGATTGCCTACCAATAAAGTCCTAACATTGGCAAATCCTTATTAACTTGACTCAATGGTACTAGGTTCAGCTTCAACTTTGTTATGTAAGAGAGGTTGGAGGATCGAACCTGGAGAGGCTCTCTGCAAGGGGAATAATCCTGCACACTACTGCGGGGAAGCCTTTGTCTCCTGATGCTCACCGTAAGGGGTGGGGTCGTCTTGTTGTGGGTCTGGGGGGAGAGTGTCCAGCGCCTCAGGTGACGGTGAGATTTTATATAACAGCCCTCTGGGTCACCCCGCCTCTCCGAGGTCTTTTAACACACATGTCACCACATGATTGCCGGCTTTCCCACTGGTGGTACAGTGGTTATTTCTCACCCCACCCTCACGGGGGTCTTTGGAACCTCTCCAGACTCGAACCTCCAACCTCTACCACCTTAACGAAGTTGAGGCGAAGTTTGGTACCATTGGGTCAACAGTGTATGGATTTAAACATGAAGGATTTCATTTTGTTTGGGATCCATGCGAGATTGACATTTCGAAGGTCCTAGTTTTTGTGTAAGGCTCCCAAAACCTGCTTTGTGGAGTCCCTAATATTTTTGTTTCTCTTATTTGATGAATCTGGTTAAGTAATTTTTTTTATGATTATAATATAATAATATATTGGGACATCATTTCTCAGTGTCTGTTGTTGATTGACATTTAATGCTAGCACTAATGTTAATGTCTCTCATGTGCAAAATAGAAAACCAACTCACAAACGAAGAGCAAACTAATGATGTCATGCGTGGTGAACAATTCGATGCATTACTTCTGAAAAGAAAGAATTCTGAAAGCAAGGAAACCATTGCAGACACAAAAGATAGAAAAAAGAAGAAATCTAAGAAGATCAAAGATCACAAGAAATCAAAAGAAGATAGTCAAAGCGACACGAGATGAAGCAAGTCAAATGCAAGAAAAAAAAAAGCTAGTCAGAATTGGAAATTCCTGGTGAAGGGTTGTGATTAAGATGTATTAACCTCTGCATGATGGCACGTGGAAATCTGAAAACAAGATCAAAGTAGAGTTGGTCATTCTGAAATCGGACCAGCTTGAAGATGAATTTTGAAAAGAAACCATCCAGTTGATGATGTAGTTCAATTTTGTGAATTGCTTGTGTACAAGTAATTATGTTTTTATTTATTTTTCATAGGGTAGGTAAAATCATATCTCCTGAAGTATTTCTGACCAAGTATTCAGAGGGGCACATTTTTGTTGGACTCACGAGTAGAGATGTGGTTTATTATTCGCTTCTTTTTTCGGTCCTTATTTTGCGTGATCTGGTGAAAATAGCGGTCATTATGCTTTTCATTTCAATTGCAGTTTCTGTAGAATGTTATCACAGAAAATGATACGTGAATAAATAATTCAATAAAATTAAAAGTGAGTCTTGGGTTTTGGTCGTAGCAATGATTTATAATTTATAATATATATGACCTATGATATAAATTTATAAAGATACTTGTAAAGAATTATCTGAGCAGCTACTAAAGCATTTAAATATGGTGTAATTTTACTCTTGAATCCCAAAATATTGTGTAAAAATTTCCTAATTTGTAATGAAGTCCAAACGTTTGTTGATACTTGATAGTATTGTGATTTTCATTTACTACGTCACATATAAAAGAGATAAGGGTAAAAATATTTAAGATTAAAAGATAAAATTGTCTTCGAACTTTTTGGTGAGGGGTGTTTGGTATTTTATATTTTTTTATTAAAATAATATTGTCTTGAAACTATAAAAAAGAATGCAAATTTACTCCAACCACTGACCCACAGGTAGTTGGCTACTAAATATTTTTGTTGACCAATGAAGATGCCCGTATCAATCCCAGTCAAAAAGCTATGTACAAGACAAACAACAAAAAATTAGATGATGGATATTTTAAAAATAGTAGGTGTGAAACCAGCGTTAAAATGCCAAATTTGATTTATAAAGATTTTATTAAAAAGATACGGGTGCAATCCTATAAAAAAAATAGTGTTAAATTAATTTAACGCATGATAATAAATTCTAAATAAAATGTTTTTTTGTTTTTATTATTAGTAAGAACGAGATAATAAATTATAGAATAGAATAAATTTTCATACTTTTAATATGTATAAGAGTAACGAATTATAAAAAATAATTTGTTTTTTAAAATAACTTCTAATACAAAGGAACGTAGGGTAAAATTATATTTTGCAACTTACAACACTATTTTGTTCCATATTATTACTTGAAAAAATTATTAAATTTGATTTTAAACATGAAAAATTGGGGTCAAACTTTCAAATTGATTGAATTTAAAAAATACAAATGAGATGCAAAATAATCAATTTAAATTTTTTTAAAAAAGTTAACACAAAAAAAAAATCAAACTTCTTAAAATATCTCACCCTTTTCCTTGTCTAATGCATGGGATAAAATCAAGTTTTCATCAAACATTGCATACCAATCAAAAAAAAAGAACTAAGCCATGGTTATTAGAACTAAGCCGAATCAATCGTTTGATTGAGAACTGGTCAGGTAGTCAATCTAAAAATGATATAAAACCAGAGGAAGAGGGAACTGCTTTTGAATCGTTAGAATCGAAAGAACCGCCAATTCAAGTAGTTTAGGCGGTTCTTCTTATTTTTTTTTTTCTCCCCCTTAAAATTGCAAGTTGAGAGTTCTGAATTTGTTTCTTGCCAAGCAACAGAGGACTCTTATTTGAGTCCGTGTCAGACCAAAAGAGTTTCTTTTATATTAATAATAGTATCATTACCTCCCAATGTCCTCAACATTCTTCATTAGCTCTTCCAGCTACATGGGTTTTGTTTCGTTATCAATTTTTGCTTCATAATCATTTTAACACAAATTTCACAATTCTGATATTACTTGTTAGAAATTGAATGAAAGATGACAAGTCCAAAAGAAGAGAAAAAATAATGTTGAATGTCTAGGATTGAGGAATCTTCCTCATCAGAATCCAACCACAACTCATACAAAGGATAATCATCGTCAAATGGTGGAAGTTCATAACTAAAAGCCATTGATGTCACTGAAGCAGTGTTAAAGTTAACAAACAATTATCAATGACTCAAAAGTAATCTCCCCTTGAACAACTAACTCTAAAAGTAGGTAACTTGAGTCGCAATTGATACCTATAATATCAGCTAAATTATGCTCAACCATATCACCATACCTTATCATAGTAATTAGGGACAACTACCTTATAAAAGTTTGAAGCCCATAACTAATATTGTAAAACTCATATAATCAATGGGGTTCCAAGTTTTTAAATGAGAAAATGAAGCTTTTAATACGAGTATTATGCATAATCAGAGTATAAAGTCATATGAAAGCATGGGATACTAAATAAGACTTAAAACATTAAGAAATAAAGGTAAAAATGACATTTTGTAATATTTTAGGAGCATCCGCCATGGCCAAAAATTTGTATGCTACAACAGAGTTCCTCTATTTCATGAGTTGTGGTGCAAGCATCATGATGCACTACACAAAATTAGTGACAATATTTTTTGTTAATTTCAGTCACAAGATCAAAATTTTAGTGTCCCAAATCTTTGTCTTATGGCTTATTAAAGTGATCTAGATATTACAAAAAGCTTATTTAGTATGCTACCTAATGGCATTAATTTATTTTTAAATTATATCTTATCAAAAAGTTGGGCACCCAGAACTTGTAACATCCCAAAAATTCAAATTAAGGCATTAAAATAAACTAAAAATTAATTGGGATTAATGTGGAGTTAAATTTTGGGGATATTATTCTAAGTCATAGTTTTTAAAAATAAATAAATAAGGTTAGGTTAAATTAAATTAAATTAAATTATTGAAGATATCTTTTCTGACTTAACATACTACAATATCTTAAGAGTAAATATGCATTTTTGCCACTGAAATATTCTTCTAAGATAATTAAATCGGAGAGCTCCTCTCCTTGCCGATAACCCCAGAAACATCCGTTAGAAAAAAAACTAACTTGTGCTCAAATATTTTCTAACAGATGTTTCAGGAATTTAATGACAAGGTGGAGAATGTTCTAATTTAATTACGTTAGGAGGCAAAAATGTTTCCACAATACTTTAAGCACTGGACACTCCTTGAAAAATACTCCAATGGCAAAAATGCAAGTTTATCTAATTTCTTAATATTATGAAGATTTTATTTAGCAAAACACCTAAACTTAATTCAATCCTTTAAATTTAGAGAGTCTAGGACAAAAATATAATATAATATATATATATATATAAGGCAAGACTTATATACTTATCCTTATATATTTAATATACTTTCATCCAATCAAATTAAAAATAAACCAATGAAACTCTTAAAATATAACGAAGAAAGTGAATAAACAATTTTTATTTGTGCCAACGTGAGTCATTAGAAAAGGTCTTCTTAAAAATTTGTTGCATTTTTTTTTTAAAGCCACTTGCAAGATTAATGACTCATGCGCTAAATGTACAATAAATTATTTGTAATAACAACTTGTTAATTTTGCAATTTATTACTTTTGTGTATACTAAAAATATAAATATTCTTTTCTTATTTATGACTTATTATTAATGGAAAAGTTTAAAAGTTATTTGGAACACTATATAAATAAAAAATGTTACTATGATATCATAAAAATACAACATAAAATATGTTAATTTGTTAATATGATATCATAAATAAAAAATATGCTAGCATAATATTATAAAAATTAATATAAAATTTTTATTAAATATTAACAGTCATGATCAGGTGTATTTTATTTTTTTACACCAGTGAAAAATATTTGAAATATAAAATTTAAAGTAAAAGACATTGTGTTTTGTAAAAAAAAGGGCGTCAATAAGATTTATCGTCCATATGACAAACTTATGATAAGTTATTTAATAACAACTTGTTATTTTTTTATTGATTTACGAGATTTAGATCTAGTGGAAGATATTGATACTTACAATATGAAGAACTAAAAGTTTGAATTTCTGTTAATAAAATTGTCAAATTTTAATACTCCATTATATTTCAAATATGATTGCTCAAAAAGATTATGAGCATCAAGAAAAATAATAATTTACTATTTCTGTACAAAATAGAGAGACCGTGGCTGTTGAAAAAATCTAGAAACCCCTACAGAGATCCAAAAAATTATATTAAATGTTCTTAAAAAGAAGGAAAAATCTGGAAATGAAAAGAGGCGCACGCAACAAGTTGGAAATTATGGCACCAAGTGACCAACAACGAACAAACCATTGGAATTTAATAAATATGTATAAGGATATTAAAATAATATGCTGTACAAAAAATAGTGATAGAAATTGCCTTTTATTATTAAACAAGGACGCATTGACATATATTATAACCAGTCATTTTTTATTAAAAAAAAAAAGACAAATTCCACCGCACATGGACCATATAAGGGTACTTAAGGATTATACCCTCTAATTTATTTATAAAAACACTTTTAAAATATCTCTATTTATATTCTTTATAAGTCATATATAACTTTTTAAATAATATTTAAAAATATTTTTAATATTACACGTCATAAAAAAAAATAACATAATATTATTTTTTAAATTTATTATAGGAACATATTTAATATTTTATACATTTTTATTTTTTTTTTTTTATATTGATATTAATAAAACTAATAAAAATGATTTATAAAAAAATATTTGAGGAGTACGCTATGGTAGAAACGGTGAAAAAAATGCAATTTATAAAAAGGTACGATTATATCAATAATATGAGAGGGAAAAAAAAGGAATGAAAATGACAATTTAATAGCGGGCCCACAGTCATTGTTGCCTTTTTTAGGTGGCCAATATTTTATTCTCCCCTCTCTTTCCTTTTCGAACGCCCCACAGACAAAAAAGCGTCGAGCCAAATCTGATAAATCAATTTGGATAAGTTTGAAAAAATTTCATAATTAAATTTAAGAGTTTAGAAAATTTTTTTACTCCAAATTTATTGAGGATATTCAATAAATCCAAAGAATTCAGGTTATGAGAGACTTAACCTAATACCCAAATTTTTTAATTATTAATAAAATAATATAAAAATAAGATAAAAATTAAATATAAATTTTTTAAAAATAATATAATATAATATACAATGAAAAATAAAAAAGATAATATTTAATAGTTTGAGTATTCAGATTAACTTGAATAAATCCACAGGTATGAGGGGACTAGAGTCAGACTTAACTATATGAACTTTTTTATGTGTTAAAAATATTTTAAATCTCATTTAAATAAGTTTAGTTAAATTTAGT